AAAAAAAGGTCAGTTAAAATCCTGAGCGGTATGCAGGGATGGATGCAGCAGAGGGATAAAACCATGTTGTTCTAGAGGGGTACCAGCCATAGCTGGAATATAAGAGAATGTGGCTACCTCAACATGGGCCTGTTGTCTTGATATGATGAGGACACAAATGTGCTCGTTTACAGAAATACGGCCATATAATCTCTCGCTTACTTCAATCTGCATTTCTTTATAGCTCACTAACTCAATCCCATTATCAGAAATGAAAGCTACGTTTAGCAAATTGTTTGGCCGTTTATGTTTAATGCACAAAATCTTAATTAACAAAATAAAATGCTGCACTCCATTGTAAATCACTTTGCTAAACTTTCAGCCTTCACGAGGAATTTGGTCTTGTCCAGAAGCTGCTTTCAAGCCCCTGCTGATCTGGCACTCATGCACCAATTCCCTGTGGAGCTGAAAGAATGTAAAGGGAGCCAATTAAGGAAACTTTGAGCCAAAATAGACAAGCAGGGGCCATCTTGTCCATCCTTCTGCCTTCAGGCGAAAACCATCCCCTGCACCAAAAATTTGTGCTTGAATCCTGCTGACAAAAATGCTCACCCCGTGTAAATGACAAGTCATAATCCAGTTAATGCAACTAAAGCAGATTGTTAACTGTTCGAGACTTATTTATTGTGTTCTAAAGATGCTGAGTAGGAAAGCTCATCTGAATTGTTTTAATTCCTCCCTTCTAGAAAATTATTTTGTATGAGAAATGTACTCAAATAATTGTAAAGATGTGGGAAGTTTGCATCCAGGAAATAAAGTTATCTTTATCATCTTATTAAATGTATTTTTGGTTTCCTTTCACTGTAGGTCTACCTTATGGGTGGGAGGAAGCTTACACAGCAGATGGAATCAAGTACTTCATCAAGTAAGTACAAGCATCTCAACCAAGTAAGCAATTTTCTTCACATCTGGAGAGAACCTGGAAGTTGCAGAATAATCAGCAAAACCAAGAAACCCTCTTGGAGGTTACAAAAATTAGTAACAAGAAATGAAGCCTCACCATTTTCATTTCATGTGATTTAAATGCTAATATCAGATATCGTTTGGGGGGGGGAACCCTAGTAATTATTTCAAGGGAAACAGCAAAAAGTTGAAACAGGATCATAATTTGAACTTAAATGTTGGCTGCCTGAATTCACTTCTGGCTAAAAGTATTAATACTCATGAAAAGTTAATATCTAAAGAAAAAAAATCAACTTTGTATGTCTTAAAACTCAATAATGTTAATAATAATCAGCAGTTTTAATATTTTACAATGTACACAGTTCATTCATTCTGCAAATATATTTTGAGCATTTGCTCTATGCCACGCAATGTTCCATGCCTTGGAGATACAGGAGTAAAATATACTGGCTGGTTCTCTGATATCATGGAATTTACACAACAGTAGGGAAAGACAAAAAGTAAACAACTAAAGAGATAAATGTGGCATAATATGAACAAACTCTATTTCAGTGGATTCTCAGAATATCTTTTGAAGTATGTGGCCTTATTTTGTGTTTTATGGATGGACAACATAAGAGCTTAGAGCAGTTGCCCAAAAATCCATAGCTACTAAATTACCAAACCAGAATAGAATCCAAGTCTTTTCACTGCAGGATTGTCAGCAATAGGGACCTGCCTTTGAAAGCCTCAAGAGTAATACCTGTCCTAGCTGGACTGGTTAGCTTTACCCTGGAAACGCAGTCTGATCTACTTCCATTGTGTTCTGGTTAGCTCCCTTCGTGTCACAAGTGGTGTTACGAGATCACAAAGGGGAATCCCAAAGACTCCTGACACCTGAAAGACTCCCTTCATTGTCCTTTTTAGTAATGTGTTCTTGTTATGCATTTGGAGAGGAAAGGGAGGTATGTCCTTGATGTCCTTTCAAGTGTGCAAGTATTTTCCAAAGCAGTATTCAAATTTTGATTCTCAAGCTCTGTGACTTTATACAGGTTCCTATGTCACTCTTCACCTCAGTTTTCTCATCATAAAGTAAGGGAAGTATTGCCTACTTCATAGAGTTGTTAAATGTGATGCTCCTAGCATAGAACTTTGAACACAGTAGATGCTGAGTAGTCATTATTAATTTACAGTACGGAGAAACCCATAATTGTTGGTGGGGAAAAACATAAAAAGTCATATGACCATTGAAAACATTGAGAACTCAAAAGTCCATACTTAAAAAGAATTGAGAAAAAAACTAGGAATAAACTTGGCAAAGCATTTTTGTGATGTATATTTTTTCTTGTGGTCCCTAGCAAAAAGTAATTAATAAAGCAAAGGCACAGTTTATAATGTGTGGAGAAAGGAACATTTGGAATAGAGGACCCAGGATTCCCATGCAAAGATTACATTTAGTACCATACTGCTCACTGCCAGAATCCTATCTCTTCTGGAAGGAAAGTTGCCCCCTGCTATGTTAAGTTAACTGTGTTCAGTTCCTGGAAGATTTGAATCATAATACTGTAGAGGTGGCAGGAAAATGAAAACCACATTCACGTTTGCACTGGGTTTCTTTCTCATACTTACTTTGTAATGATTAAGGGAAAAGATGGAGGGGAGAGGAAAATGAGCACTTACAGAGCACGGCCTGATGATGCTCAGTAGTCAGGCATATATTAGGTGGATTTTTGTATGCGTTGCATCATTTAATTCTCCCAATGGTGTGGAGAGTGGACCCCACTTGGCTCTTATTAGGATGCTATTATGGTGGTGGTGAGCTGCATCCTGTCTCTTCAGCCATGCCTGTCTCCTAGAAAGTCCCCAAAAAGAAATGCCAGATCAAAGGAAGGCAAACTAGCATTCATTATTAACTGGGGTTCTGGTTCAAAGGCCTTTGAAAAAATATCTAAATGAGTCTGGACCCTGTGAGCACTCCTTAGCCTCAGCCAGCTGTCAGTATATCCTCACCCAAAGCTGAGTGTCAGAGCCTAACTGGTGCCATATGAGGAAAGGATACTAAGGACACAGTCACTAAGATAAAGACAAGGAGGAAGCGAGAGTGTTTCCCATTGCCTGGTACCCAGCTGGCTTAAGCCACTGTGCCTTGGGGACTGGAACAATAGTCTTGGTCTGGTGTCTGCTACAAAGAAGAGTAGCATCCAAGGAGAGGAGAAGAGAGAGGGTAAACAAGCCATTTGTCTGCCTTCAGATCTAACTCACAGTCCTGTGGAAGGAACAGAAAGAGACGCTACATTTATATAGTCTACTCCAGCATAGAAAATACATCCCTTCAACCTGCCCTTTGGAACTCCGCTGATTCTCTTCCTTGACCTTAATCTTGACTTACAAAGAAAGCATTACAGAAATGATAATATAGATTTGTTCCCCAGAGGACACTGGTGGGTATCAGTGTCTCACCATTAGAGTTGGAGACCCTATGTGGAAAAGAGACTAACTTGATCAGGGCCACACGGTAGCAAAATTGCAGAACCAAGGTACGTAAAGCCACCCCCCAACACACACACACACACACCCATGCTTTACCACCTCCACGTCCTCATTTTAACATAGTATGTTTCTATATGACAAGAAAGATATTTTAAACAGATCTTGATTTGGGGAGAGCTCTATACTTTATCCATTTTTTTAAATAGCAGAACAGAAACTTAGTTCTAAGAATAAGTAGTTATCTCCTGGAGATTAGAAAGGTCACATAGTGAAGATAGGAAAACCTAACAATATGCCAGTTCTTCCTTTACCTGGCCTCATGGAGGAATGAGCTGCTTGCCATGAGAGGTTTTTCTGCTAGAAGTTGACCCCATTCAAGCACCAACATGTATTTTAGCTTAACTGTTCTTGATGAAAGTTTTACTTAATAAGTGTTACATACTTCCTTGTCTTCTTCTATCGAGGCCACTTGGGTCCAAATGCTGATGTCTCCACAGCATAGCTGAATGATCTTAGACATGTTCACTTAAGCTCTCTGGGCTTTAATTCTCCATATTTATGGACTGGTAAGAATATTAGCACTTCGTAGGGTTCTTGTCCAGAATGAATGAGCTTATGTACATGAAAAACCTACCATAGCACCTGACCCAAAGTACATACAGTAAAGTTTAGCCCTAACTCACTCCCTCCCCTCACTGTTAGCATTTTGATAGGGGGTTACTTCCTAGCTCTTAGCTGCTATGTTCAGATAGGTGATGTTGCCACATAAGTAATGGCTGCGTAAGCAAGCATCCATTGTATGTCTTTCTTGGAACTATTTATTTAGCTTTTTTTGTTTTATTTTTTTTTTAATTTTTTTTTTCAACGTTTATTTATTTTTGGGACAGAGAGAGACAGAGCATGAACGGGGGAGGGGCAGAGAGAGAGGGAGACACAGCATCGGAAACAGGCTCCAGGCTCTGAGCCATCAGCCCAGAGCCCGACGCGGGGCTCGAACTCACGGACCGCGAGATCGTGACCTGGCTGAAGTCGGACGCCCAACCGACTGCGCCACCCAGGCGCCCCTGTTTTATTTTTTTAATCTTCATCCTCTCACTTACCCCAGCTAAAATTGTGTGCCTGGATAACCTTAGCTTTTGGGGTAGAAGCAGTTCAATTACCAGGTAAATGTACTTTGGAGGCAAGAAATAACAACTAATGAACTCAGGCCATTGCCTCTCTCACCTTAACTTAAAAAGAACAGTCTGAAATCGCCCTTCCAGAACACCGGAGGAGATGATGGTCTGTATACATAGAATCTCTTCCCTGAAATTGACACCTGTCAATGTCTTCCCCAAAATTCAGTTGTTACATCTGATGGAAGCCAAGCCTCAGGCAAAGGGATAACTGTCATGGCTGTCCCAAGAATGCCCAGATGAATATAGTCCTCATTGAGTATTCCTATCCATCCACATGTCCACTGCACACCTATTAATACTTTATAGTAATCATCTACTTAAGTTCTGACGTAAGAGAAGAAAACGTTTTACCCGGCATACACAAATTTAATCAAATGTTGGCATTGCTAGAGCCAGCGTTTCATAGCAGTAACAAACGTGTGTGTTTGTATATATGTGTATGTGTGTATACTAATATGTGTATGCAATATGCACATAGGCAGGGCTTGCCCACTTGCTATATATATATGAGTGTGTGTGTGTATACATATACACACACACACATGCATACCAGCACATTCAAGGGAAAACTTTTGTATTGTCTCCTTAGAAAGTGGCAGCATTCTTTTTTTTTTTTTTTAACGTTTATTTATTTTTGAGACAGAGAGAGACAGAGCATGAACAGGGGAGAGGCAGAGAGAGAGGGAGACACAGAATCTGAAACGGGCTCCAGGCTCTGAGCTGTCAGCACAGAGCCTGACGCGGGGCTCGAACTCACGGACCGTGAGATCATGACCTGAGCCGAAGTGGGACGCCTAACCGACTGAGCCACCCAGGCACCCCAGAAAGTGGCAGCATTCTTAAATTTAATGACAAAATGACAGTTATCTTGATGGTGCTATGATGAAAGTATCTGATTAACTTACCTGTTTTTCTAGCCAATTTCTTCCCTTTGGAAGTTGCATACTATTATAGATTTATAGTAGTCCTTTGATATGATTCCACTTTAAAATTTATTGTAGAATTGAACAAAATTATGTCGGGAGTTATGTTTGATAGTAAAGCTGAATGTAATTATTACAAACTAGACATTGCTGCCACATTGCCTTCATTGTATTCTTTTCTTTATGGAAAAATTCAGATTCACTGTGATCAGTGATCATAATTGTATTAATTCTCTATTGCTGCATGATAAATTTCTCCCAAAGTTCGCAGCTTAAAACAGCAAACATTTATTTTCTCACCCAGTTTTAGAGAGTCAAGAATCCAGGTGTGGTTTTACTGGATCATTGGCTCTTTCTCTCTGGTTGTCTCATGAAGTTGCGATCAAGTGGTT